GCTGCTCTGACAGGAGATATCTACATGGGAGTCCAGCAGGGCAGAAACTAGCTCTCTCTCTCCCCCACTTCTACATCACCTTGGTGAGGTCCATACAACCCCACATCCTCCGGATTAGAAGGCAGTAGTTTTCAAAGTGTGGTCACTGGGCCAGCAACAGCATCAAAAGTGGCAGCATTCAGAAATTTGTTAGAAATATAAATTCTCAGGCCATACTCCTCAAGAATTTGTATTTCAACAAATTCTCCTGTTAAATCTAAGGCAAAAATCTCCAATTTGACTACAAGATTTTAAAAGGGCATTATACTCAGATGATAGCTTTAAATTTTGCTCTCCAGTCTCACCCTACTCTGGCCCTGGCATCTTTGCTTTAGAGAAACAGGAAGGGCACAATGGTGGCCTTCAAATGGATGGGCATTTTCCTAATGGACACTGGCTGGGTGGCTCAGAGGGGCTGGCCCTTTAAGTAAATGGGAATTAAAACACAGAGGGAGTCACAGAGCAGACTGATTTAGGAGTACTTGTGAGGTTTTTCTATGGGTATCACTCTCAGGAACCGGGGATTGCTTCCTATGGTAGGGTTTGGAGGAATGTCTGAGGGAGATCCAAACTTCTCCCATCCCCATGGAAACAAGAGAGCTGGCAGACCTCTGGCTGTGAGAATTAACATGGTGAACATTTTCTGAGCATCTACTGCCTATTAGGCATGAACCAAGCACTTGACTGCTCACACTCTCTCACCTAGCTCTCAAAACAAAGGTAGTTTTCCCAATCCTCGTTTTACAAAAGGGGAAACACACATTACTAAACAGCATATGTTACATCTGAAGCTGGTAAGTGATGGGTTGGGATTTAAATCTACTCTACTGCCTCTTCATGCTGCTGCCACCTGTTCTGAGATTCAGGGATTTTCCTGAATATGACCTCCAGTTCTCCCTACTTCAGACACCTTACTCATCAGCACTCCCAGTATCCCCTCTGCATTCAGCTTCACATCTTGGATCCCATCTCCAATTCAAATTTTTGGATGGCATCTAGTAATCTGCCGCTCCTACTCTGTACCCAAGACCCTATAGGACTGCATGCGGCTCCTGGAATTGGCATGAACTCTTACACAAAGATGCTCTGGACTTCACCCACCTTGGTCCACTCGGAACCTGGTGGCATTGCATACCACTTTGTCCCCATTTGCAGTGGAATATGTACACATTAGGCACACAACCTTTACAAAGAATACAATATGTTGTATAGTCGTGAAAAGCCCACCTGGTTGAGCAGAGGAGAGGACTACACATTTAGAGCCACAAATACAAAGTGACTGTGTTTCAGGGCCAGTGCCACTTAATGGATAATAGTACATGGGAGAAAACACTGTGATGTTCAATTTTTGACAGTAACTTCCACCTTGTGTGACTCAGAAAAGCTAAGGAGCATCTCTAGGCCTTAGTTTACTCTTTTAGAGAATGAGGATATTAGTGCCTCTGTACTCCCAGGCTTCTGTAGCATCTACAGTATCCTATCTTACTCATGCTATACACAAGTCGGTCTTACTCATTGACTCAATGGCTAGTAAGAAATTGACCCCAGAAGATGTGGCAAACATCTGCTTACCAAATGAAGAGTTATTGAAGATGACTTTTCTCTATGATAGCTTACAATATCATATCTTATATGATGTTTCATATCCAAAGGGGCGGACAGACATAGCTCATGAAGACCAGGGAGTTAGAGTGTAGAGAATGTGAGGCTGGAGATCCAGCGTGCAGAAGAGGCATAGCAGGTGCATATTGCATCTGACTGAAAGGGTAAGGAGGCAGTTGAGAATCTCTATTCTGATCCCTGCCATTTCTGTCTCCCATCCTGTCATTGGACTGAATGGCAGGTCAATTGCCACAGCTATGAGCGTGGCCACTTATTTTACCAACTTTCTTCCCAGGGGCCAGAGAATTTGGTAATGTTGCCACCACTGAGGTACGAGTTGGTAAAATTTCCTTGATCTCTGAGAAGTTTTTTTTCCCAGACTTTGCTTAAGATGATGTCTGAAAGATGGTCCAGAAACAGTACAAGCTGATCATCAGCTTCCAACATGGAGGCATGATCTAAAAGGAATCTCCTCAAAGTCTCCTGCCAAGAGGAAACTTGTACGGTTTTGGAACATGCCTGCCTCTTCCTTGAGTGCTACCTTGGCTGTCCCACCTCTAATTTCTCTGCAGTGACTGGCAATAAGGTCCTTTAAATATGTGAGACACACAGCTGGGATAGCTGAATCTCACTTCACTTTTTTTTTGAGAGGTTTTTATTTATAGGGCGCGTGCGCTCACCAGACAGACAGAGAGAGACAGAGAGACAGAAAGCGAGAAATCATCCCTCAGGGGGGATGACCACACCGCAATCCCTTCTCCTCCATTCTCCTCTCGGGATCTTGGGCATGCACGCACATGTGCCCAGCATGAGTTTAAGCCACTAGGTCCGAGAGTCGAACCGCGGTCGACTACATAGGAGTCCAGCGACAGCCATTACACTAACTGCTGGTTCCCAATCCCACTTCACTTTGATGAAGATAAGTGTGCAGTGGGGCAGGGCAACCACTGAGGCAAAGAAAGAAGCCTGGGTCTCTATAGCCTAAGAGGAAGGACCAGGGAAGGATCTGGGAGTATGAAGAGACTCTTGGGCAATCGTCCAAAAAACACAGCCAGACTACTCCCCACTTCCTTTCCACCAGGTAGCAAGATCCTTGAAGGCAAAGACTGTACTAAACCCCGAGTCAAGGTCACATTGATTCATACATTAAAAATAAAACGACATTCAGAAATCACCTGCCTTTCTAACCCCTGTTCTTCATCAACATATGTTAAATGTAAGTTCAAAGAATGATGAACCCACCAGCAAAGTCTTTTGCCAATTTTTCCTTCTTTTAGAGATATATCTAGTAAACAAGAAAAAGCATACCAACTTACTCACTAAACACAATCCCTTATTATACAATTAGCCAAAACACAACTGTATGTAATACAATTAAACAAGACTACAATTACACAAAAGTAATGATTCAGTGTAGATGGCAATGACTTTCATGTAATTGAAAATAATGAGACCTTCCTTGATTAGAAATTAAGGGATCATAAGAGACCCCTACTGATAAATGTTGCCTGTATTGATTCACACTTTGCAAAATGCTGTGCTGGCCGATGAAGTAGGATGTTTTCCCCCTCTGTCACGGAAGACTGGGGAAAGCAATGATTCTCTGTAATCTTTTATTTTGAGGTCTGTAAACTAGCACATTTTAATGAAGCACACATTTTATTATCCACTTTTCCAGCTGGTCAAATAAAAAAAAAATAGAGTAGAAGAGCCAGAAAATGTGCATGATTGGTTGATGATCCTCTGTGCAGTGGTATTAACAGAGAAACATGTGCATAAAATACTACCACATTATATCGGTCATTCCCAGTATTAGTGAGAGTATATTCTGTATAGTGATTTCTGGGCCACTCCGTAGAGGTACCTGTTACTTCTCAACACTGCAGTCACCTCTCTAGCTCTGCACTAGCTCTTTTCCAATCTTTTTCACCTTTTCCTGAGTACTCTGACCACCTTCCCTCCAAGTTCTCTCCAAGGGCATGTAGTAGTCAGATCCCACTGACACCCAATGTTCTTCATGATGGTTCTGGGCTCACATCTCAGGTCATATTTACATATGTGCTTCACTAACACTGATCTTCCACCTCTACTGAGCTATATTTTATTCAACCCATGATATCATTAACTACAAAGGCATATCACTATTCTTTGTGCCACTAAGAAAAATAAATGTTGCCAATTAAACTATTATACACCATCAACTGTAAAATTCATCCCAATAGTAGAGATATTAAATGCAAAAAGAAACTGTTTTGAATTAATGAGATATTTTCAGGCTGTTGTTACGCCTTTTCTCAATGCTTTTGTCTGCTAAAGCCCTTATTGCCTGACTTCAGCCAATTCTGCCTATACCTCCTCCTTCAAAATTCAACTCAGAAGCTTGTACCTCCTGACACCATTCTTTGGAGTCAGTCTAAGTTACTACTGCCATGTGTCCTGCAAATAAAGGTGCACTTCTTGATTATTTATCTCACTCTATTGTAATGACTAATTTATTCCCTGGTGAAATCTGAACAGAGATCTTATATCACAAATACACAGGCAAGCACTTCATGGATTTTATTTACCCATTTGATAAATGTTATTTTGACTGGTGTGAGCAGAATTAGAAGAATGAAGGAGGTAGGTGCTAGAGAAGAAATACAGAGAAAAGGTAAGCCTTGCCACAATTTCAGAATCTAGCTCCAGTTTTTCTGCACTGTGTCTTTAAATCTAGAAATGTCCAATATAAGAGCCAGATCCCAGGAGAAATGCAGGAAGAAACTAAGCTTTTGCTAAATTTGGGTGCTGTAGAGTAAAAGTGCTGATTCTCTCTAGCCAGGATCTGGTCCCTTCTGACCCACAACAACACAGGGGGGCTGGGAACAGTGAGAGCAGAGATTAATCACCCCAGGCTGGGGGTGGGGGGGATTTACTGTGTGCTATTGGGCATGGATCAGACCTCTGATATAGAATTCCCAGGGGACCCACTGTTTACCTGCCTATGTTAAAAGGACACCCATTGCTGTGAAGAATGAAATGGTTTATGAGAGAAGTGATTCCTCCCTCCTTTTTGCTTTACTCTTAACTTCAAAGTAATCAAATGTTGTTTATGCATAAAATTTTAATCCTTTCACAAATTTGTATTTTGATTTAATTTGCATATCCCATTTACTGCAAGTCAACATGAAGAGAGACTCGACTAATTTAAACCATTTTTCTCTGGGCCTGAAATCCTTTCAGAAATATTTTCCATTAGGCGACTCAATTATGTTTAATGTGGCTAATGTCGGTGGATTAGAATTTTGCTTAAAGAAACTTGTATTTAGAACAGTGAGGATGGGAAGGGGGTGGGAGAACAGAGAAGAGACAATAATTACCTGTCTTTGATGCTACACAGATCAATGTGTAAATCACTAAAATTCCCCAGGGAACTTTGCTGAACTGAAATGAGGTCCTTGGGCTGGTTATCAATAAAGATGAGCCTCATGCAGCCTTGGAAAGCCTTAATGGGATTTAAACATTGGGAATCGGTGAGATTGTCGGGGCACCCTGTGGGACAGAGAAAAAAGATGAAGAAGAATACTGAAATGATCAGTCATTGCTTTGGCGACCTATTGATGGAAAACCTTGAGGTCTAATTATTTTGGTGCTTTTTCATTCAAGTGGTGCACGCACTTCTGTTGTAAATCCTCAAATTCTCAGGGAGGGGATGGAATTGCTACAAAATGGGGCATACTCAATCATGGTATAGAGAAAAAAAGAGTGTGTTTAAAAATACCAATACTATAACATTCACCTCTTTTGAATTTATTATTTTTCTTTTGGTAAGCTATTTGCCATTCTTTTGCATGGTATTCTTCAATCAACCCAAGGAAGCAACATATTATAACTGCTTGGGAATTTTAGTTCTGCCTTAAAACACATGTCTAAATGCACAATTCAATTCTGAATTACACGTACAAAGGAAATTATGCTTTGGGTAAGTATGGCAGCAGAGTAATTGTCTGGTTAATTGTTAGCATTAACAGACTTAGTTCCTGAGAAAGGTACATATAGGGACACAACTAGAATTTTGAAATGATGTGCAAAGCAAATTCAGTCGTTAAGGGAACTAAGGGTTTAAATTCAGATAGTTATAGGACTGTAATCACTTACGTGAAAGGTTAACACCACACTTCTTCAAATAGTGTTCTTTAAAAAAATGCATTACACTGATTTAGCATAGCTTGCAACTGGGGCATATCTGCTTCTCATTAAGACAGGTATTGAGCATCTCAGGTATATGAGTGCTTGTGCTCTTTATAAATTCCATCCCAATGGTTTTAATAGATTCAGAGCATATGGAAATGCAAGCTTGAAAACATGGCAATAACCCATAAATAATTGGGAATTATTTCAGCCATCTCTAATAGACAGTCACTGCTGGGTTGAAGCCCAGCATCTGGTTAACAGCTCAACAACCACACTATAAAGTGGAGAGAGATGCTACAACTTCTAATTGAAGCTGTAGAGAGAATTTATGTAAGTTGACTATTATTACTGAAACTCATTTTTCACCTTCCTTAAGTTTACACTCTATACGTGGGGCATTTGTTTAAACACTGTTCAAATGGGATATAAATCCTCACCTCTTATTCCCAGAGTCTTGTAAACCCCACCCCTTAAGATTTCTTCTTCAACTGGGCGAGGGGAGCCATCTGCCTTTGAGGCCTGCTGGATGCCTATTGTACCATAATTATTCAGAAACACTTTCCCCAGAAATAAATTCAGGATTTTTTCCTCTCTTTGTTGCTAAAATACTACAAATGTTGTATATATGATGCAATCTGGGAGGAATATCTTTGGGGGCCCCAAGACCCTTGTTTTGCAGCTTTTATACTACTTTGACTCATTCCTTTGCTTTGCAGGCTGTAGAGACCACAGATTTGGATTTGAATCTTAGCTGTACTACTCACTAGCTCTATGGCCTTGCACAAATTATTTCATGTCAGCAAACACCAACTCTGTTATATTAAATGGGGATAATATTACCTACCTCATGAAGTAGCTGCATGAATTAAATGAAGTAAGATATAAAGAACATTTACAGAGAATGGAAGTGCATTTTCTTGCTAATGAAATTTGTTACCCCTGCACATGCAGAGAAGATTTTGGGGTGAAGGATAATGGTCTCTCTCCCTCTGAAATGAAAATACAAAGATACTGCTCCACACTGCTTCCTCCCAGAATACCCCAAATATATGTACAACACCGGTGCAAGGCCCCTCCCTATTTCAAAGTTTTAACCACATTTCATTGGTATGAGAAAAGTGATTTGTAAATTCTATTTTAGATATTATGGTACATAAATTTACTCAATACTTCCCTTCAGTTTCCTAGCAGAAAAAGAATTGGCCAGAATAATGCCATTCCTGGGCCATGCCCACATTTTTAAGAGCTGAAGCCACCTGTCTACTTCCTGCCACGTAGCAGCCACTGTGCTTGGCATTTGAACCTTGATCTCTTTAACTCTCCCAGCAATTCTGAAGGTAAGTTTATTTCCCCGTGTCCTAGAGAAGGATGTTCAGGGACTATACGTGTCTTACTCAAGGTCAGACAGCCATTAAGGTCACATCCTCTTCTGAGATTGTATCTATAATACAAATGCTTGGCTAAAAATTAGATTCTTTTTTCATGAAAAAAATACTTTACAAGACTAAACTAAGCTAAAAATATATCAGGTCATTGGGAAAGTCATAATGCATTTTTGCATAGAAAGATACGTCATGACTTTCTTGACAACTTAATACATGCATTTATAAAAAATGCAGTGGGTGCCTAATCATATGTTTTTCATCCTCACCAGTTTGTCCTTATATTTCATCATTGGGAAGGTTCCCAGGATTTATGTAGTATCAGAAGGGAGAGAATCTGAACTGGCTTCTCCATGTGGAGCTACAAAGTTGTGGCCCTCCTAGTCTCTCCCTCTTCCTAGCTGCCCCACTCCATGGGCATGACCTGTAAGGACATGAGGAAGAAAAGGGCAGGTAACCAAGAAAATAAAGTGGCAGAGAAGGGGCCTGGATGGCTGAGCACGCTGGCTGTGCCTTTCCCTGGAATTTTTCCTCTTCAGGTCCCGCTGACTCTCAGTACACTTTTTCCATGTTTTCAGCTGAATTTTTTCCTATCCAATGTGATCACAGAGCTTGGCATGGATACAAAAATCTCCTTTGGACAGGTTATGTAACATCAGCTCTTGTAGCTCAAGTTCTTTTCTTCCTCAGCACTGACCTAGATAATTTATATTTGCACAGCTGTGAGAGATTTTGCTTCTCACTATTTTAGACTTGAGGTTGGGTGCATGTATATGTGAATACGTATGTTTATGTGTATGTGTTATGCGTGTGTGCTTATATGCGCATGAGTACATGTTGGGAGAATGATCTAATTGACAGAGTGAGAATCGTCATAGTAAAATAACTGTCCACTGCATTATTACACCTCCCCACCTTTGTTTTCAAAGTTGAAGTCTGAAGAATTTACCTCCAAAGTAGTATCTATTTCCAGAATAAATTTGCACCCGGGTGGTGTCCTGAGCCGGGGATGCTGCATCGTTATCGAGAGTGAGAGTGATGCGGTTTCTTCTGGCATTGATGCTAACTGAATGCCACAAGCCATCATTCAAGCTGCTGCCTGCAAAAGAAACAGGAAGGGCAAACATAGGGGTGATAGATTCCGGGAGGCTCAGAGAGGGTGGGGCTCATTTCCCAGCCTGCTGTGGTCCAGGTACATGCTCTGGGCAGACCCTCTCCTTCCTTGGCTCAAGACAAACCCTAGATGCTTCACTAGAGTCTTCTTCCTTCCTCTTTTTGAACCTTAATTCAATTCTTTGTTTTTAAAATAGCTAAACTACTTCTGATATATTTGGTTTAAAAATGAAAGTACAAAACACCAGATTTTATTTACAATACAATCAAAAGCAAGTCATATAGGAATTATTCTACTGATTTATAAATTCAGAGGAATAAATGGGATTTAATACAAATAATACAAGGGATTCTATCTTTTTCTTTTTTTTCAAAGGTTTTTGCCATAGAGCATGCATAGTCTCCAGAGAGAAGTGGAGAGAGACAGTTAGAAGGAAAGTGAGAGATCAGCTCACAGGGGAGATGGCCACTTCACAGTCCCTTTTCTTCTGTTCTCTTCCTGGGATTTTAAGCATGCATGCACATACATCCAACATGATATTCATGCTGTTGGGTCTGGGAATAAAACCATGGTCAGTCATATGGAAATCTAGCACCTTAACTACCATGCCACCTCCTAGCCTCAGGATTTTATCTTCAAGTGGTGGGACTATAGGCAATTTTGGTTTTCTCACTTCTATGAACAACTTATATCCAATTATAAGTAAAAATTAATTTTTTTCCAAATTTTCAGACAGCATGTGCACCAACCAGAGAGAGATAAAGAGACAGAGAGAGAGGGAGAGGAAGAAAGGACTCCCTGCCAGTGGGTCATGGTCATAGGACTTCAGGCCCACAAGCACCTGATGTCTTTAAGTTGCCAGGGTGGGGATTTCAATTGTGGTTGGTCAAGTAGGACTCAGCTCATTTAACCAACAGACCACAAAGCAATTCCCAAACTATTTTTAAAGTAGATTCCAATCATATGCCAGGCATGGACAATCTATTGGAAACAGCTAACAAACTGGTTAAATTCCAATCATTCTCTGTAATTACCCAAGGTTTCATAAGTTGCCTTCCTCTAGTAAGCTCTGATTTTATTATCTGTAAAAATTATAACACTTATTTGGTGTCATTGTTAAAGGGATCAAATGAGGTCAGGAAGGAAAGTTCTAAGGTCAGTTTGGGGGTGAGTAGATGCTTGTTTAGAGTTCATTTCTCACTTGGTCATTGGCTCCAGTTATCTTTGGTGCACACTACACTGCTGATGTACCTTTGTACCTTTCTGGGAGATGCAACCATTTCCTGTGAAAAGTTATCATCTATTTAGATTGTCTTGTCAGTGCAAAGTGCTGGCTGAAGGGAACCTAGTATTATGAACTGGTCTGATTTGTTTGTGCCAAGACCATATATTTCAGTCACATATTTCTTCTATCAATAGTCATTTAATATGCCTTATTATTGTTGTTATTATTACTATTAGAGATTTTTTTGCTATGGGATGTGTGTACTCACTGGAGAGGTAGAGAGAAACAGAGAGACAGGAAGTGAAAAATCACCCCCTGGAGGAATGGCCATACTGCAATCCCTTCTTCTCCATTCTCCTAGGGATTTTGGACACGCATGCACATGTACCCAGAGTGAGTTTTAAGCCATTGATCTGGGACTCGAACTGTGGTCAACCATGTGAGAGTCCAGCAGCTAACCATTATGCCATCTGCTGGTCCTATAATATGCCTTGTTGAATATCAAGTTGTCTTCCTTTCACTACCTCAGTTTCTTCACTCACTAAAGTGGATGGTTATTATTCTTAAAGGTCTTGTGATGATCACACCAGTTCATAAACAACATATGGAGAATAGTACATGTCAATCATAAGTAGACAATAGCATTAGCTAAAACAAATGGAAGAAATAGCAACTCCAGCATGGTCACTGGTATTAGGGAGTATGGATAACATCCTGTGTCTCTAGCCCAGGATAGTCCATAGTTAGATGGAAAAGTCGCATACAAAGAGGACTAAACATCCACTTTTCATTTCAAGCTAGTGAGGTAAAGAGAGAAGCAAGTAGGGCCAGAGGTGGTGTAGTGGTTAAGGCTCTGGACTCCCATGTAGTCCATTGAAGTTCGAGTCCTGAAACTCATGCCAGGCGCATGTGCATGCATGCCCCAATTCTCAAGAGGAGAATGGAGGAAAAGGGACTGTGGCATGACCATCCCACCTGGGAGGTGATTTCTTGCTTTCTGTCTTTTTGTTTCTCTCTGGTGAGCACATGTACCCTATAACGAAAATCTCTCTCAAAAGAAAAAAAGTAATAGAGAAAGAAGCAAACAACACTTAAGAAAAAAGGCTAATTAATTCCATGTTTTTCATGGAAGAGACAGATGACCACTGAAGGAAGTTTTTAAAAATTAGCAAGAGTTTAAAACTCATAACACAAGTACCTCAGGAGAAAGAAAAGCTAGGCAAAGAAGCAATAATCTGGAATGAGAAGCAGGTGTGGACACAATGAAGGCAGATGAGAAGAGGATCCAATTACCCAGGACCACAAATGTCAGGCTGAGATGCGGTTTCACCTACATCTTTTTTTTTTTTTCTTTTTTTTAAAGAGAGATTTTTGCTATAAGGCACATTCACTTGCTGGAGAGACAGAGAGACAGGGGGATGGCCACCTGTGATCCCTTCTCCTCCATTCTCCTCTTGGGTTCTTGGGCACACACACACACACACACAGTGTGAGGTTTAAGTCACCAGGTCCAGGACTTGAAATGCAGTGGACTATGTGGGAGTTCAGCGACATAACCATTATGCCATCTGCTGGTCTCATCAGCTACATCTTTTTGCAAATGATTCAGGAGAGTACTCTGTATAAGCTGACTCCATCAGCATCTCTGGGGATGGAGCATTAGGCATCTGCATTTTTTTTTTTTTTTTGGAGAGATTTTCACTGTAGGGCGCGTGCGCTCGCCAGACAGAGAGACATAGAGACAGAAAGCGAGAAATCACCCCCCAGGGGGGATGGTCACGCTGCAATCCCCTCTCCTCCATTCTCCTCTAGGGATCTTGGGCACGCCCGCACATGCGCCCGGCGTGAGTTTTAAGCCACCGGGTCCGGGACACGAACCGCGGTCGACTACATGGGAGTCCAGCGACATAGCCATTATGCTAACTGCTGGTTCCCGGCATCTGCATTTTAAAAAGCTTCCTGGATGACTCTAAGGCATGGCCAGGAGTGAAAGTCCCCTCTTAAAATGGAGCAGTCTAGGAGGGAACTTTGGCATAAGAATGGCAGGGTTGCAGGTGGGTATTCATAAACTTCCCTGGCCACCAAGTAGATAGGAGCTGGGAGGAGCAAGGCAGAATGAGTGGGTAGTATTGCTTGCAGAAACCCTGAGCGACAGAATGATGGAGTCTTAGCCAAAGCAGCTGCTGAAGAAATGCAATGCAAGAGAAGGATTTAACAATTATTTCTGGAGGTATAATAGACCTGCTCTGGCAGAGTCTACTGGAGCAGTCCCTTAGATGTCAGAGGGGAAGAAAGCACACTAAGAGAGGATCTGCCCTCTAAGTGAAGAGTGAAGACTTGTGGCCCCAGCACTCAGATAACTGGAAAAATGGCTCAGGGAGGATTGCAGCACCAGGCGTTGGGACTTGCTGTGTGTGCACCAAAGGCAGCTGTGTTGCATCTGGTCAGAGCAGCCCAGATGTGAGGGACCTCCTGCATTTCCAGCCAGCTCCTTCTCAATCAGTCTCTGCAGCAATCCTAAACATCTGCTTGGGGTAAGAGAGAACCCAGAGGCATCTCAGTCTGGTGGCTCCACTTGATCCAAAGGCAGCTGTCTTCAAACAAGGCCAGGGTTTGGGTCTTGGCCACAGGGACTCTACTAATGAGGGAGAGCCTCTGTCAGGTTTTTCCTGGTGATGAACACTTGATTTCTTACAGGGGCTTTTGGGGAGTACAGCCAACTGCAGGATTTTTTTTTCTTTTTACTTCCACATTCATATAATTTGCATATATCTGCATAACACAAGAAATTGCATTTGCAGGTAAACTTTAGACTGTTTGAACTGAAAGGGCATCAGAAACTAGTTCACCAAATGGGGTCTAAATAGTCCCTAAGGGCCAAACAGCCTGATAGGCATCAGGAATGCTGGGAGGAAGAAAGCACAAGCACAGGCCACCAGGGGCCCCTCTAATTAGAGACTTATCACTCGGTCATCTCACAGATGAAATGGGCCTGAGAGAAGAGGTTTGCTCAGTGTGAGCCACAGGAACCAGAGCATTAGCTAGTGTTCAGTCCCTTCCTACATCACTATCCATCTCTTTTATTTTCAGAGGTTTTTGCTATAGGGCGCATGCGCTCGCCAGACAGACAGACAGAGACGGAGAGACAGAAAGTGAGAAATCACCCCCCAGGGGGATGGTTACGCCACAATCCCTTCTCCTCCATTCTCCTTTCGTGATCTTGGGCACGCCCACACACGCACCCTGTATGAGTTTTAAGCCACCAGATCTGGAACTCGAACCACAGTCGACTACATGGGAGTCCAGCGACATAGCCATTACGCTAACTGCTGGTCCCACTATCCATCTCTTTTAAAAGAAAGCATTTAATGAGGCTTTGCTTTGTTGGTTGTTTTGTTCTGTTTTATTACTTCACTTTTTGGTCTGCCTCTCCTTTTTACTTTTTTTTTTTTTCTTCATGGTCCCCACTCCCTGTAGGAGAATCTGTGTGAAAAGCTTAGCTCTCAAGATAATTATTGGAACAGTCATTCTTGATGCAGGAATCACCTGGAAAGCTTTTGAAAATACAGAACTCTGGCCTTCCACCAGGTTAATTAAGTCAGATTTCTGGGGATGCCTTCAGGCATTGGAAGGTTCAAAGACCTCCAGAGATTCACTTGTGCAGCCAGGGTTGAGAACTACTCCATTAAAGGTTTCAGAAGAGAGGAAAGAAGCTAGAAAAAAATATATAACTAGTTCAAGGGAACCGACTCCAAAATCA